ACACACACACACACACACACACACACACACACGCACACACACACACACACACACACACACACACACACACACACACACACACACCTAGGGACAATTTAGAGTTACCAATCAGACCATGCATGTTTTTGGTCTGTGGGAGGAAACTGGAGTACCTGGTGAAAACCCACTCAGCACAGAGAGAACATGCAAACTCCACCCAGAAAGACCCACTGGACCAGGATTTGAACTGGAGCAACCTGCTTGAGAGACAAAAGCTCTACCAACTGCACCACTGTGCTGCTCCTATAATTGTGTAACAATTCCCAGGGGACAAAAGGTCACCCTCAGAGAACAGAAACTTTCTCTTTAACAGTAAAGTTCTGTATGTACTTCCTTAATATCAAACTATGGATCCCTGGTTTGTGCAGATAATTATCATACTGGCATACTCACGTTGTCAGCACTGCTACCTGCATAACACATGGTGGTTTTTACTGTGTTAAGATTTAAAGAGGCTGCTCACACAATAAACACTAAATCTTGTTTAGTTTTTCTCGTTTACAATAAAAGACTGCAGAAATGGGTAAATCACAAAGTTGTATTTCAGTTTCTTGTCAAAGCTCAAATTAAATCCAGCTGGATAATAATAATAATTATGATAATATTAATACTAATAATGTGATCAGATACACAAACACCCCCTTCAGCTCTGTAAATCACATACAGTACATAAGCTTTCCTAATAAGATCTCTGTCTAATCATCCCATTGTGTGTACACATCCACTCCACAGGCACCAGAGCTGCAAAGATCAGAAGCTTCATTGAATCCCTTCAAGCCCATGGCTGATAAACTCCTCAGAGATATGCTTTGACATTTTCATAAAGTTTAGATGCACACATTGAAAGGCCTCGCTTCATATTAGGTGGTAATGTACTTTGTACGCTGTAGTTAAGAAGCTTCAACAAAGTTTCCTTCTCTCATCCATTTATCACATCTGGATGCTAAGCCTATCATTTTTGGCAAAACTGCTGCAGAAAAAGAACAAAGATATAACTATCTGCCAAATACGAGTCATTCATTCAAATTTAATCTGATTGCATCCATTTTTATTCAGGACCCTCATTATGACACTCCCCCCCCACCCCACCCCCCCACCCCCCCACACACTTTTTTTTTTATTGATGAGCACTCAAACAAATGGCATACCCCCTTTTCCCCCTGTTGTCAGCAGTGACGTTGCCATGGAAACAGCGGTTTGTGATCTGCATCAGTCTTTCGTGTCCACATCTATGTGCTGGATCAATTCGTATGGCTTCTCCCTTCAAATGCCGAGGCAATAAAACAGCCTATAGAAAATGTTGCCTGCACTGTCTGCACAGGAGTATGACGTCTGAAAGACAACATATGTATG